AATCAGGAGATCCAGGCAGTTCAAATATGTATAAAGACTTACTGCAAGCTTAAGCTCTCTATAAAAATCTGACCAACTGGCCATTAAGAGAAATGAGTAGGAGATAAGAGAGGCATTCTAAGTGGGCTGGACTTAACTCTCTTGCAGGTATGCAGGGATTCATAACTTATGACGCATTTGACCCCTCCTCTGTCTCAGCCTGGTTATCTCCTACACATTTACCTCCTAAGCTGTGTAGATCAATTTTAAACCATTCAGAAAAGGGTTTTTTTTTAAAAAAAATTGTTTTCAGATGATGGGAGAGTTGTCACCAATATAGATAATACTCTCATTTTTGTCAAATTCAAGTGAGGGAGTAGATGTTCTCTATCAATATTAATTGCTGAAGAAGAGCAAGATAACTGAGACTTCATCTAAATAAGATGGAGATACTGTTGGTAGGTGTCTTGTCTACTCAGCAGACTGAGAAGACAAGGCAACTTAGAAATTCCTTCAGTGGATTAATTCATGAGATTGTTTGTAAATGTTCTTTTGGATACAAGATTTTTAAGAACCTTCATATGGAGCAAAGCTTTTTTTATCATGTTAAATTGAAATACTAATTATGATCATAGCAATCTACAATTTTTTATAATCCAGTTAGCCATTATTGAAATGTATTGTCTACTCTTCCCATTGAGTAAGCCTATGAGGGGATGCTATGAGTCCTCCACCATATATAATGGGCACAGAAATGACAGGAGGAAAAGGAATCTATTGCTCTTGAATTCATAGATTTCTCACACTTCTGTCAGAAATAACTTCACAAGCACTCACATTTCCTGTAGGGCATTTGGAGTATAGAAGTCTAGCAGAGATATTTTTTTACCCATTAAAGTTGCTTTTAGTCTTCTGTTAATTATGTTATATGTTTATAGTTTCCTTAATGCAAACTGTCTGGAATTTGGGGGTGATTTGTAGGCTTGGTTTTACATTTAGTCATAAATTATATATAGGGATGCCACCTCTAAAAACAAGACAGAAATTAGCTGATCAAAGGTAAGCCAGAGGAGCATTGATAGGGAATATATAGTTATTCATATTATGACAGTCCTTTCTGATTTCACTTCCAATTCATTTCTGGGTCCAATTTGAAATGCAGCATTAACTTTTAAATTCCTAAATGGTCTGGAGATCCAATGATTATTAGCTCTATTATCCAAAACATTTTGTCAGCAAAGATAGGAAAGGTTGTTGGAAATGAGAACTATTTTAGAAGAACTTGCAGTTCCTTAAAAACTTCATAGATAGGCCACTAATGCTTTTTTTGAATTCAACTAGTACCATCATTCCCTTCATGGATTACTGCCTTGTCATGGTGAAGGGGCTTGAGTAGCTCAATGAAGCTATAAGCTAAGCTGTGCAAGGCCACCCAAGATGGACAGGTCATAGCAGAGACTTCTGACAAAACGTGATCCACTGGAGAAGGAAATGGCAACCCACTCCTGTATCTTTGCCATGAAAACCCCATGGACAGTACCAAAAGGAAAATAGATATGATGCTGGAAGATGAGCCCCTCAGGTCGGAAGGTGTCCAATATACAGTACTACAGGGAAAGAACAGAGGGCTAGTACTAGTAGTGCCAGAAAGAGTGAAGCAACTGGGCCAAAGCTGAAAGGACATTCAGCTGTGGATGCATCTGGTGGTGAAAGGAACGTCCGATGCTGTAAAAATTTTCTCTTCAAAGGAACCTGGAATGTGAGATCCATGAATCAAGGCAAGTTGGATGTGGTCAAACGAGATGACAAGACTGAACATTGACATCTTAGGAATCAGCTAAATAAAATGGACAGGAATGGGTGAATTTAATTCAGATGACCATCAGGTATACTACTGCGGGCATGAATCCCTCAGAAGAAATGGAGTAGCCTTCATAATCAATAAAAGAGTAGGAAAAGCAATACTGGGATACACTCCCCAAAATGACAGAATTATCTCAGTTCGAATCCAAGGCAAACCATTCAATATCACAGTAATCCAAGTCTATGCCCCAATCACTGGTGCTGAAGAAGATGAAATTGACCAGTTCTATGAAGCCCTACAGCACCTTATAGAATTAACACCAAAAAATGATGTCCTTATCATCATGGGGGATTGGAATGTTAAAGTAGGAAGCCAAAACATAATCGGAATAACAGGCAAGTTTGGCCTTGGAGTACAAAATGAAGCAGGGCACAGGCTGATAGAATTTTGTCAAGAGAATATGATGGTCATAGCAAACACTCTTTCCCAACAACCCAAGAGACAATTCTACACATGGACATCACCAGATGGTCAACACAGAAATCAGATTGACTATGTGCTCTGCAGCCAAAGATGGAGAAGCTCTAAACAGTCAGTAAAAACAAGATCAGGAACTGGCTGTGGCTCAAATCATGAGCTTTTCATTGCAAAATTTAGGCTTAAATTGAAGAAAGTAGGGAAAAGCTCTAGGCCACTCAAGTATGAACTAAATCATAACCCTGATGAATATACAGCAGAGGTGACAAATAGATTTAAGGAATTAGATCTGATAGACAGAGTGTCTATGGTTTTCCCCGTTGCAATGTATGGCTGTGAAATTTGGACCATAAGAAAGGCTGAGCGCCAAAGAATTGAGGTCTTTGAACTATGGTGCTAGAGAAAACTCCTGCAAGTCCCTTGGACTGAAAGGCAATCAAACCGGTCAGTCCTAGGGGAGATCAACCCTGAGTGCTCTTTAGAAGGCCAGATCCTGAAGATGAAACTCAAATACTTTGGCCACCTTATGAGAAGGAAGGACTCACTGGAGAAGACCCTAATGCTGGGGAAGATTGAGGGCAAAGAAGAAGGGGTCAACAGAGAATGAGATGGCTGGATGGAGTCACTGAAGCAGTAGGCGTGAGCTTAAATGGACTCCAGAGGATGGTAGAGAATAGGAAGACCTGGAGAAATGTTGTCCATGGGGTCGCGATTCGCAACTAACAACAACAAAAGTACCATCATACTTCACTGCCATGCGTAGCATCCATTATATCTTAACATTAAAGCGAATGTAAACTTTTCAAGTTTAGTGATAGATATGGTTGTAAAGAAGTAAATAGCAAAGGAAGTGTACAACCAAATCTTCAATATGGACTAAAGCCTGAAACATGTCATCATATTAAACTGTTTAGATAGAATGAGCTATGCTGTTGATAAATATGATACCTTGCAAATTAAAAAGGGCAGTGACTGGATTTTAATTTACTAATGTGGGTCTGAGTAATAACATAATAAAATATTCAATTTCTGTAGAAAGTTAAAAGGAAATCATTGTCTGTTTATTAGTTCACTTTGTAAATTGAAATCAATGAAATTTCTCCAAGAAAGGCATAAAATCAATTGTTAAATAGCATATAACTTGTGATCTTTAGAGTAAATTGTAGTTTATTTGACATGAATCCATGAGACTTCCACATACTGAGTTGCCTTTCTTTTCAAGGCAACTCCAGATAATTTTTGCTGAACCATTTCTAATGCATCGTAGAATGATCTGTTTTTCATGTCCACAACTGCCTGCATTTGCTCTTATGCAAATAATCCAATCAAGCAAATGGAAAACAAGAAGCCATAATCAGGAGGGCTTGACAAACAGTAACCTTAGAGTTTTAGGGGAGAGACCAGGATTTAGATTTATGTTTCTACCTGCATCTGTTGAAGCAATTGATCCATTATGAAGTACTTGAATAGGTCAATTTCAGACAAGCGGTATAAATTGGATCAGATGTGGCAAGTAATTGATGTTGGTTTGATTTAAATGTGTGGTTCGTGTAGTTCATTGCTGGTAGAAATCAACCTAGGCTGTTGAAACTTGTTAACATCTCTGTCCCCTATTTTCGTAGTTTATTTATCATGTTGTATTTGGAGGGGGGAAAATCAGTTAATTTCTTTGGTATCTAAAGATAAAGATCTCATTTCCATCTTGCTTTTATTTAAAATGAACAGTTGAAGTGGGAGTAAGCTGTTGTTTTTGTTTATGTTATTAATTTTGTGATGCATTATGAATAGAAACAAGAAACAACACTACTAAGAAGAAACTACTCTCATTCCCAATTTTAAAAGCTGTCATCATCACCTCTAAAACTGATTGGAAAAAATAGCAATTGATGACTGGGCAGGGGAGATGTTAAATGTAGAACAGGAGAGGTTGGTCTGCCATTCCCATCCTGAACATCTTAGGGGGAAAAGATGAAAAAAAAATCTGCTCTGACCCTCCAAATGCCCCTATATCACCAAATGACACCCTGAACTTTCTAAGTTGTGGTGTACAACCCTTCAGAAATTATAAATCAATAAATTTCCTCTTAAGTATCTTCAAACAATGCTGGGGGAAATCTCTGCCTGAAAGTCTTGGTGTGCCTTCTCTTCCATGATGTCAAGTACCCTACTGAGACTACAGGCAATTGAGTAGGGACTAATTAATTGGCCAATCAGAAGCTGATATGAAAAGGGATCAATCAAGAATTAACACCACCAAAGCAACCAAGCAGAATCAGGCACAAAGAACCAGTGAGAGACCACTCATTACCAATCTGCACCAATCAGAAACTAGTTTGTCTAAAGATTAATTAGCAGCGGAATACCTGGCTACAAAGACAGAAGCCCTGTCTCTACTCAGTTACCAGTTGACCACAATGTTTCTGAAGTTGCCAACCAAATTGTCAGGAAATCTGTTGTCTAGATGATGGTCACTAAAACCTGAAACCCAAAATATTGCCCAATATTGCCCAAAATATACACTTTAGCTATATACTCTTGTAATTAATTTGTAGGATTGCATTTTCTATATTATATTTTTCACTATAATTCAGGAGCTATTTTTTTATAAGATTGGTAACTAATTGACATTTATAATGTCCTAATTTTTGAAAAAAAAACGTACAGAGATGTGGCAGATACATATTTGCTAATGCTTTATTAAATTCAATTAATATTCATGTCCATTGTCCCCTTTTTGTAGATTTGAAAGTTTTTACACCATACCAGTTTTTAATCTCTGCTTGCACAATGGTTGGCTGCAAAAACAGTACCCAGGTCACAGTGCTTACAACGGAACTCCCACCAGTTCATGTGGATGTGCCAGATCTGATAATTTTGGATTCTAGAACACTAGAAGCACAGTTAAGTAAAATTCACCCTTTTTTTTTCTTAGTGTTGGAGTGGGACAATCTTGGCAAATGTAATAGCTCTCCTCTTGAATTCTTATTCTGGGCACTACAGTTAACCTATGTCTAGTTCTGGGTTCCATTGTTCAAATGATCAGTGCCAAATTGGAGCAAGTTCAAAAAAGATGCCAAGATGTTGAAGAGTCTGGAAACCAAGCCCTATAAGAAAGGGTTAAAGAATATAAACCCAGGGCCCTTTTCTACCTGTGACAAGTATAGTATCAATTTATGCAAGAATCCTAGTGAATTAAATCACAAATAAGGTCTGTGACATACATTTACTATGATTAAATGCACAGAAGTGATTAGTAATAGAATAGTGGCTCTGTAACTCTTTGATTACCATTTGCCAAGTTAATTTCCATTAGTCTTTATGCAATCAGTATAACCTACATATGGCCACAGCCTCAGTGCAAATAGTAATACAGGAAGAAGATTTTGTGATATGATCAGGATACAATTTTCACTCTAAAACACAATATCAAAATAATTTACTACAAATTTTATATTTAAAAGTTTTCTATGCTGCTTTATTTGTTCTTCAATTCTTGCCCCAAATTGCTTGATGACTACATTAGCTTTCACTCTCTAAGTAAACATTATATATTCCCCCACTGCCCTCTTTAATTGTTGTATAAATTATATGCTGCTTCTTTTTGCAGGTGGGATATTCCAAAGGAAGTAAATGGAATGGTATACCGCTGTATCCTGTACATTGCCAAGAAAGAGAAAAAATCTATAGTTTGGGATGCAATTTATAACTCTACAGATCTTTTTCAGAACTATACTATACAAGACCTTTCCCCTGGTACTGAATACTTCATCAAGTTAGCAGTAAGTTGGGGAAAGTAATAAATGTGACAGCTGAGCAAACGATAGCTTCTGTATGTGTTATCTACTGTATATTTTCTTTTATCTGTTGTGATGGAAGTCAAACTGGCTAAGTTTTCATAGAGCACATTAAAGGAAAAGAATAAATTGAATGTTTGTTTCAAAATAAGTGTGGGGAAAATCAAGTCTTCTATGACCCAAAACAAATTGGCTCACAGAGACAGAAGATTTGGCAATTCTCTGCATAAGAATTATAGTGGGAACAAGCAGATCTGAAAAAATTGGCCCCGTTTTACTTCTTCCTTTAGTGAATTGGGTATTCCAGCCTGGTTATTAGTTAACAAAATGCAGATTTGAATCCTGTTTTTCATTCAAGACCTCAAGGTGATGTACATAGCATTTCCTTCTCTGGTTTCAAAGCAGCAACACTGTGAGATAGTTGTACTGAGAGACAATGACAGGTCCAAAGTTGCCCAAAATCTTTTGTGATTGAGGATGGGCTAAAATCTGGCTCTCCCTTTTCTTATCCAACAACTTTAACCATTATACCATTCTGGTTCTTTTTTTTCTTTAATAAAAATAAATTAAAATATTTTGAACTCATTTAGGGGATTACATTCATGTTAAAACAAGAATTTTGTTCAAGATGTCACAGTCTTTTTTAAAAAATATGCAAATATCATAGAACTCTTACCCTAAAAGTTTAGCTCTTTCACAGTTGATCATGCACTACTGCAACTCCTACAGACAAATTGCAATTTGCAAGTCTCCTTAAAAAAAGCCGTTTTTTTCAGCTGTTCTACTTTCTTGTCCTCAGAAATGATCTTGCCTTCTATATCCTCATTCGTAATCAATTTCCAGTTTACTCTTACTAAGGCCCCAAGAGACCAAAGCTCTTCAGAAATGCAGTATTTTCTAAAGTTCCTAGGTCCAAGAAGTCTGGATGTTTATTTTTCAAGGTCCTGCAGCCTGTTTGGTGCTGCTATTACCACTTTCATGTACAAAGAATAGGAAAAAGATTCCTAAGATCAATTGCCATGTAGGTCTGGAGAAAGGAATGGGTTGATGGAAGAGCAGGGTTAGGCCACCTGTAATCTTTGTGTATCTTCAGTCAGGTCAGGGTTGATGAGAATTGTAGCTCAACGATTAGAGGATCATACTGTAGGTTCTCAGCTTCAAGATCGAAAATTCCCAGTAAGATTTGAGAGACAAAGATTTGTGATATTTATGAACATACTCAGAAATACAGTCATTAAAGTGATAATAATTGTTCCTTATATCAAGGAAGATGATAATTCTCTCCCCCCCCTTTCCTGCTTCTCTGTAGCAACTTACAATGGTAAAACTAGAAGGAAAAAATATTTATTGCAAACTACAAACACTTAAAAATGTCTTTTAAATGTCATTGCTATTATTTTGTGCAGTCATTTCCTTTTGCTTTTTGATTAAAGAACAGTTTAAGTTCCATGATACAACTGAAAATATCTTGAATATAAACATGAGATTGTCCCTGTTTGTTTTAAACACTCTCATCATTTTATAGTAATACCTATATAAGGACATTTGCTTTCATAAATGCCATAGAAAATATTCTGCTCTTGATTATGAATACATTTACATTTATGTGTAGACACTCTGAATGCATTCATTTTGCTCAACATGCTCTTGAATTCTCTAAATATTGTACCAGATTATGCCACAAGAAAATAATCTACCTTCCAATAACAATAAGGCTTTGGTTCAAAGTCCTACTGAACAAAGACTTTCAAATTCATTATGACTTGAAATCCACAAAGATAAAATCTGGCCTTTATCTATTTTAGATTAGTAACTGTAACAGTTAACACTTAATTCAACTTTTACATACCACCCATTTCCATCCTTGACTTTAAGCAGTTTACAAATATTCATGAGACTAAAAATTGTTATTTCTTTTTAGGTTCCTAACCAATGGATGTTAAGAACAAGGGAATAATTTCAGTGAAATAATGATAGGATTGTGGTTCTGACTTACCTCAGCATAGTTTATTATTTTTTAAAAAAGAAAAAACCCAATAACACTGATTTTTATAACAATTCAACTTGCAATGTAACTGTTAAGGCAGCAAATTAACACATAACACAGAGAGGTTTTTTGTTTGTTTGCTTGTTTTTACCAAAAGAAGCTCTTAGATGAACTGATCTAAGTTAAGACAGGATCAGCCTTGGCTGAATTAAGAGGTAACTGCCTTGGTAGGGGATCATCACCCAAGAATTCCATGACTAGAGTAGAGAATTCAAAAAACAAGTTTCAGAAGTAGTCGATGGCAAACCGTATCTTCCTACAGACCTAGCTAGATGCAGGGGCCAGGAATTGAGTTTAAACTTTCATATTTAATCTCCCTTGAGATCCAGACAGCATCCAGCCTGATAGTGTTCAGGAAAGTCTTTAAAACCTGGCTATTCTTCTTGAGGTAGGCAGGATAGAGCCCTCCCCATATGTTAGAAGTGATTGAGAGCCAGCCCTTTGCTTTAGAGATCAGAATACATTTGGAGTTTAGGCAGTGACTGTTCTGATTTCTATTACACCACTTTATTTGCATTGATCTCATCTTCTAGGCTGCTGTGAGAGTGATTTTTAGTTAATGTCCTAAAGCTGTTATCATCTACCTAGAAAATAACGTATCTCCTCAAATGCCATTAGAAATATATAATGAGAAAATCAGTGTACGGTCTCCTGCTGTTCTGCCCCAACTACGGATCCCAAAGAACACAGCACACACAAAGTTTGTACAAAACTTAATTTACTAAAATAACTCAGTCTTTTTCAAAACAAAGGCTGATAATAAACTTTCTTAACAGCCTACAAGAAACCAAAGATAAAGTAATCACAATCTTACTAAGGTTGGCAGAAAGCCCAGAAGCAATTTGCAGAGAATCCAGACGCGAAGTAGAGTGAACTTGTTAAGGATATTGGTGTTGTGTTACCAACCAGCAGAGTAAATGCACAAGGAAACGTTGCTGAGAGCAATGAATAAGAGATATGCAAACTGGTTTATCAAAAGCTTACTTTATAGTAGAAAAACAGTCTCATAGTCTTTAAACAAATTCCAAGTCTTTGCCAGTAAAATCAATCCAGTAGTTACAGAATCTTCTTACCAAACAAACAGTAGTTGGTTAGAATAACAAACTCACTCTGGTTCACAAGCCACGATGGTAGCAAATCCATCCAATGATGATAGCAGATAGCAACCCCTCATACTATGGCAGCATATCATACTCTGGTAGCATATCACATCATCTTCATACACAATGGCAGCATATCATAGCAGCAACTGAACACGTTACAATACCTTGCTTAAATACTCTCACAACCAGTCATTACCTAATTACAGCATGACTCAGCATTAAAGCCTTAAAGTTACACAATAGATATTTACAGATTAAAGTTACAGTACACATATATTGCCTGGACAACTTGTTAGGCTCAAACCATATCCTAACAGAACTAAAGTTGTTCCCTATAAATTGCTTCAGTCAGTGTTCCTCCTTAAATAGGCTCAGGGAGTGGCCAATTAGCCCCAAGCCTTACTCTCGAGGAGACCTCCTCCTGAAGAGCCACTCCTCCTTTTGGCCACTTTGCGCGCCTGTGCATCGAGAAGAGACTCCTCCTCTTCATCCTCTTCACTTAAAGGAGCTTCTGGAGATTCTGAAGGCCCTGGCTGAATCTCTGCCTCTGACACCATATCTTCTCCAGCCTCCTCATTGTCTGACTTGAGTGCCAGATGCACAGGCAACACCACACCAGTCTCCTCGCTATCAGAATCAGCTACAATCCGCACAGGCTGCTGACGGGCCACAACACCTGCTTGAACAGGGGGTTGAACTAGAAGACCTCCAAGGTCCCTTCTAACTCTGTTACTGTGTTAAATTCAAATAAATGGCAGTGCTTTCTGAACCATTGCCAAGGCTATGGATTGTCCAAAAGAACTGTTTCAGAAAAAAAGAAATGCAATTCAGGACAAGAGTACAAATCAGTACACCACTCCCTTAAATTTGCTAGCATAACTTTTTAAAAATGGCTGCACTCTGGATGTGTTTGACTACATTCCCCAAAATCCAAGCTGTCTTCAGTACATTCAGAAACACCAAGTTATGGGTACAAATTAAGCAGTGGGCAAATGATGAAACTTAGATAATCATCATTCAAATGCTGCTGTTGGCAATTTTATTGTTGATATATACATACTTGTGATAATAGCAATAGCACTTAGATTTATATACCGCTTCACAGTGCTTTACAGCCCTTTCTAAGCTGTTTACAGAGTCAACATATTGCCCTCAACAATCTAGGTCCTCATTTTACTGAACTTGGAAGGCTGACTCAACCTTGAGCCAGTGAGGATTGAACCCCTGGCAGTCAGCAGAATTAACCTGCAATATTGCATTCTAACCACTGCGCCACCACGGCTCTTCAGACTATAGACTAATAGCATTAGTCTGATCATATCACTGTCTGTGTGTGTGGCATGAGTGTATGTGTGTCATCTTTTTGGTATAAACGTGGCTTGCTACAGTTGCTGGAGCACTAAATTCCTTAAGTCTTCTCTCGCATCTTTGTTTAGGGAATTTTGATAGTTATAATTTCTTACATGTGCAACATTGTAATGTAAGCATGATGCTAGAATCTGGCTTTCGTTGCCATGCTTTAGCAATGCATGTCATCATTGTTCACCTTTGTTCCTCAGATTTTTCTCAAAAGCCTTCTCGGTTCTTAGACCACCTCTTCCTCTGCTTGTGCTGCATAGTGGAATTACAGTCTGGGCCCACAAGGATTGAAGGTTTAACAGTTGAACTGTTCAGTAGCTGTCTGTTGTCTTCCTATATTGATTTCTTAGGTGAAGACATCCTCTCCCCATTCCTTAGCACTTAAGTCTGCATATAAGCATATTCCCCTAAAAAGCAATGTAAGATGCAAGAGACTCTTAGGTCCTTTTATCTACTAATCTCTGGGAGTGTGACTAAGAATGTGAGAATCAGTGAAAAAGACTGTTTACTGCTGAGATTAGCTGGGCAAAGTTTTGAACAAACATGAATTTCTATGACAAAAAAAATCTGAAGGAAATTCTCTCCTCCTCAGATATAGAAACTTTGTATTTATCATCGCCTAAATGTACAGTATATAATTGTTAAAATGGTCAAAAACCTTGTAAAATACAAATCAGTTTACTATAATTCTTTCACATGGAGTTTTTTTTCCCCCTTCACAACTCTAAAGATTTCAAACAACTGTATTACATGCACTTTTCACTGGCAGTTCTTTCTTCTTAGATGCTTTGGAGGGCAGGATTTTTTTAATGCAAAAAGATGAATGCTACGTGGACTGCCATTTATGAAGTGTTCAAATTTAGTGGCAAAGACAGAGACCAAAGTCAATGGTTTGGAGGGTGTTTTTTTTTCCGTCAGCAGATTGAGTATAGCTGACAACATACCAAATTCAACTTTTGACTATGTGAGGTAAAGTTTGCTGAAATCTTGTGTGTGTAGATGCTGAAGAGCTGCTAAAACTTGCCTTGTCCCCCACTTGATTCTTCCAAGATGCGTTAGCAAAGGCATGTTAAAATGGAAGGAAGCAATGCACACAGAGAGACACCAGTTAGCATATCTACCTAAAAAGAAATATAAAATAATAACAAAGTACCAAGATAGCAATCCTGAATCTATTTATTTAGGAGTGGGCCCTGTTGAACTAGTGGTACTTGCAGAATAGGCAGGTACATTTATTTAAATCATTTTTCTCCACTACAGTTTTGGAACTGTAAAGGTTCCAAAAGGGGAATAACAATAACGACTGTCTTTGATCTTCAGCCTACAGTCTGAAAGACACAATTACAAGAAAAGGGAAATTAGTGGATGCTGGGTATTAGTGGATGCTGGGAGAATCAAATTAAGACAACACACTTCTGAAATGGTATAGGTTTTCTGGCCTAAGCAGGAGGTTGGACTAGAAGACCTCCAAGGTCCCTTCCAACTCTGTTATTCTACTTCTACTTCTACATACTTTAAAGTTATTGGGTTCTTGGTGTTCCCTGAGCTTGCTTTTCTTCTTGCAGATGTTTCATAATCAGATTATGTGACAGTGTCAGCTCAGAGAACCCCAGGAATCCAACAAGTGAAGACTGAGCTACATATATTCTTCACTATTTTAATTTTAAGTCAATGTGAGGCAAAATACTCAAAGGAGAGAAGATGATAGAGCTGGTCTTTCAGAAAAAAGAATCCATAGGATCCAATCCCCTTTCCCCGCAATCCAAGGAAAACATACAGAATTTTGCTTTTAGACAACTTCAGTTGTAGATGCTATAGTTTCCTCTCCAATACCAAACAGTATACTCTTACAGTATTTTAATAAAATGAATGCAGTTATACAGCTGAAATGTTATAATTATGCCAAATATAAAATACAGCAAATGTTATATCAAGAACTTAAAAATGTGGAAGGAAAAGACTTTTAAAGGTAAAGTTAGCCTTGATTTCTGGAGGTTACATGGAAATTTTCATTCAGGGAGACTTGACAACAGTCTGGAAGTGGTTTGTCATTTCCTCCTTCAGGGATGTTTTTTTTTTGTTTGTTTGTTTGTTTTTTGAACCTCCTAGTGTAGTTTAGAGACTTGGGATTTCCTAGTTGTCTTCTGTTCAAGATAAAAAGATCTTGACCCTGCTTGCGTTTTTCAAGATCAGTCGAGATTGGCTAGGTGCTGCCACCTAGTGAGCTGAGTCAAGAAACATAAATTTCAGTATCTTTCTGTTTCACCTACTCCAAAGAAACCCAATAAAACAACCTCCCACCCCCACGGAGGGAGAAAAAAAGACATCTAGAACCTCTAGATTACATCTCTACCTATTCCATAAACAAATTTTAGTACCCCCTTCCAGTGTAATGTGAAACACAAGAGTGTTAGAAAATGTTAGATAAGGAAAGACTTGCAGACAGTACTAGATATTTTAGATCTGACTGTTTGCATCTAAGAAACTGATCCTGTTCTACAGGAGTCTATGGAGATTCTCAGTCATCCAGATCATGGTTGCCCCAAAGGTGCTTTTTCAAGCGTCAACTGGACTTTCTTGTTTTTTCTTTTTCTTGTTTCGCTTCTCATCCAAGAAGCTTCTTCAGCTCTGTCTGGATGGTGGGGAATGGAAGGGTTTATATTTGATCCTGTTTTACAGGACACTTTTTCATGCCAATGCCCTTTTCTTTTCTTTTCTGTTCTGATTCCTGGATGGAGGTTACAAGCAATGCTAGCAGCAGGGACCTCTTCATAACAGCCTTCTTTTCTGGAGGGCCCTTATCTTGGGAAAGACTCTTGAGATGACTGAAACAAACAAACACAGGACTGCATAAAGAAATAAATCATGTTGCTTTGAGAACTAAACATATTAAGACCACTCTTAAGGCACGGAGGCAAGGAGACTGTGAGTTCTAGTCCTGCTTTAGGCATAAAAGCCAGCTGGGTAACCTTGGGCCAGTCACTCTCTCTCAGCCCAACCTACCTCACAGGGTTGTTGTATAGAAAATAGGAAGAGGAAGGAGTATTAGGTATGTTCATCGTATTGAGTTATTTATAAAAAAAATAAATGCAGGATAAAAAACAACCTTTTAAGAAATGACTAGATTTCTTTACATTTCCTTTTCTGAATAGTATACACTGGGGATATATTTCATGTCAGGTTTTAGTATTGGTCTCTCTTTCTTTTTCCAAAGGCCTGCACTACAGGTGGATGTACAATCAGTGAAACGATTTCAGTAAAAACAATGAAAACTGGCCCAGAAGGGGTTCCAGCTCCTAAAGTCCAGTCATATTCCTCTGACTCTTTTAACATTTCATGGACTAAGCCAGAGTACATGAATGGTGAGTGAACTGTTTTAGCCTCAAGTTAAAAAGATGATTAGTAAAGATAAATTAATATTCTAAATGGCAGCTTCTATGTGGTGCTTAATTTTTAATGATCATTTTAGCACATAAAATACGGCGATGGTATCATTGTCTACAGCTTGGAGATTGAAGTTTTCAGTCCTGTTTTGCTGTTTCAATGGCTCAAAAGTGCTCCCTTTTGATGGTTCTCATGTATTGCATTCTCTTATTTAATGCTTTATGGAACAATTGAACTGAAGTTCAATTGTTTCTGAAATTTCTGAAGCATATTGATTTTCTTTATGGCATCTTCTTAATTTTTATTTCTAAATACATCCAGCCATTGGTTTCATAAGGAGGTAAATAACAAGTAAGTAGTAAGTAATTATGAAGTTTTGATTATATATATATATATATATATATATATATATATATATATATATACGCACACACATATGCATATATATATATATATATATATATACATACACACACACATATGCGCACACACATACACGCACACACACACATGTAAAATTTCCATATTGTTTTTCCTTTTCTTATCATATCAGAGTGCATCTAGTCTTCAATTAAATTGTCAGAGACAGCCAACAGGTACTGGGTCTGGACTATAGAATAGTACTAGAATTCAGATAAACTTCCTCTAAGCCATATTTACTTTTTGTCCTTGAATGCAGAAGAATCTCAGGAGTCTTGCTAAGAAAATACACACTATAAAATGATCACTTGAACATCTTAGAAGAAGTACTGCGGTACTTGCAAATACCATAGCAATGAATTAGATTTTCTTACAAAGGTCACTTGTTATGGAAGCCTTCTCCGATGTGGCACATTGAAATGTTTTGGCACATCAGATTTGATGAGATATAAGTCCACAAATTCTTAGCTAGCAGTTTGGAGGTTGCCAGGTTGAAGAAAGCTGGTTTATATGATCTAATCTGGTGGCTGCTGGAAAGAGAAGAACTTCCTCAATTGAAACAAAATAACTAATTGGTCAGAAACTAGGGTGGTAACATTTTCCTGTTGAGCCTACATTATTTGTGCCATAACACAAATGTAGCATAGTAGTTTATATTTTTCCTGATACAAAGTAAAGTTCTTTCTATGGATCAAACATAGGAACAAAACCAGAGAAAAAAATGGCAGCCCTATTTGTATTATACAGTATATGCATGTTCCTACTTTAAAAATAACTGGATGGTTTAAAAATATCTGATTGAATGTCTACGTTCCCAGCAATCAGCTGAATTCACAAGGCTTATAACAGAAAACGATACTAAGAAATTGCTCCAGTTGAGTATAAAATACCTTTAATAATGTATTTGGTAGTTTCGGAGAACTATAAATATCTACTGTAATCTGCAAGTTAGTTTAAGTTTGAAGGTAGTCTGCCTTTTGCTTTGAAATGACATAGTGTCATTGATTATTTCAGAATAAATTGTAAGCAATTAGAAATTGTTACAAGACAAGTTTATTTGTCAGATGTGCATTGCACTGAGCACAACATCACTGTGTTATTGCTTTTTTTTGGAACATATTTTTTTCTATGGGAACAGGCTATTCGGCATTAGATGTTCAAGACAAATATGTAAGTAACAAAATAAAATAATGGATGATGGGATTATCAATGACTACAGTTCTTTATGGTGGTATCATATTTCAAGAACCATAGGAAGCACATTCTAAATGGCAACTATCAGCATATCTCGTTTTATCTGCATTTTGCTTTATTGCACTTCGCAGATATTGTGGATTTTTACAAGCCCCTCCATCAGTAAACTAATACAACTTGCTGAAGGCTCAGATGATGATTAGTGTTTATAGCAATGAAGTATTTTAAATTAAAGTGTGTACATTGGGTTTTGTAGATGCAATGCTACTGTACACTTAATAGACTACGGTATAGTGTAAACATAACTTTGGTGAATTATATACATTAGGAAACCAACAAATTCACACTTTATTCACTTTATTGCAATGGTTGCTTTGGAACTATTGGTCTGGAACCAAATCTGCAGTTTTTCTGATGTATGCCTGTACATTAAAGTCATAGCAAAAAGAAATATACATCCTCCTACGTTGATTTGGGGTATTTCCAAGGCAGGTGCTTGGCAAGTGTATGTCATACAACAGTAGGACCATCCAGATTAGTCTTTGCTAGTGTGGAATTGGTGTTATTTTATTCTCTTTATCTAGAGATTTGGACAATTTAAACAAATATCAGATGGAACTGAACTGTTCCTCCTCCCCTTATCCATCTAATTATAATTGTTCTGATAACTTTTTACAAAAGAATCCTGAAAATGTATTGTAATCTGTAATGTGTCATTTTTTAAGTATTTCATGGTAGGATAACCAATGGAAGAAATTGAGAATTTTAATTAAAATCTGTATTTTACATTGCAAATGATTACAGTGCAGATCTAAATATAATATTGAACTTAAATTCCAAGGAACAGGAGCAACCATTGCAGCAGGTTAAAAAAAAAGCTTGTAAGGACTAATGCAGGTAAAGCAGTAGTTTTCAGATTACACAGAACTATTATATACATTTAAAGCATATATCCTGCTTCTTTCTCAAGGCTGGGAAGAGAATAGTGATGAGTAGAGCAAGCAAGGTCACAAAGAAAGAGCTTGAGACTCAACTGGGTTAGCTATAGTACTAAGTACATAAATATCTCTGTTACAATGAACAGGCAAGAGAAATATGTACAATTTGAACCTTGGATCTGCTATCTAGATAGCTGAGCTTCACAGTTTGCTTTCATGGATTTTCTTCACTATGAACAGCTTCTGAGGCAAAACTCCTATTTATATAAGAGTTGCATATATATGTATATATGGCATTTATCTTTTGCACAATGAAGCATTTTACATAGTGAAGACATCTCTGTGCTCATTAGGATACATCATGGGTCTAATACTATAACCTAGTAGAAGTTTTTGTAGTGATCAGAAATGGTAATTTTTATCTTCAGATCCCAGTTTGTTGACATACACTAATACCTTCAATTACAGCTAATTTTACGGAACTCTATTATGTAGCTGAAGCTCTTTCATAGTAGACTGCCACTAGGTTGTTCATCTGTATTAAATTATATCTTTTGATGAACCCCAGCTCAGCTATTTTGCAATGTTTCAACACCATTTTTCATAGAATAAACATAGATCAAAAGTTTCTTATCATAGTCCATATGTTAACTAGATGCTGTATTTTATGACAATATGCAGATTTTGGAGAGAGAGTGTTGATTGTATTGCCTTCTTGAAATTGTTTGGTTTTCAGCATTTTATACAATTACCTCTAGCACTTAAAATGGATGGAAGGGGTGTCAGGGCATTTATTAATCCCATGTTTGGCTCTGGGACTAATTACCCTGGTTTAGAGTAGATGAATCTAGGCTTATTCCTTGTTGCAATAATCTGAAAAGAAACGCGAGGAAAAGTTTCTAATAAAACTCATTTATTTGTTATAAAGAAAATAAAACACCTCACTAACTAAGAAAAGTTAATTGTTACATTTTTGAAAGTAATTCTTGCCGGCTATCTGAGCCGGACCTCTGGCAAGAGAACAAAGGAAAAAGTGAGAAGAAGCAAGTGAAGGAATGGAATGTGGGTGGATGCGGAAACACGTAGCTTACTGATAAGAAGTTGGCAAAGCTACGGAGAGTCTGACAGTCCAGAAATAATGAGCTCAGCTGGTAAATAAAATAACGCAGTGACAAGGGGCTTCTGGGCAGACCCAGGGCCTTTCTGAGGCAAATTCCATCACCTCACAGCCACAACACCTCCTATTGTTGAATCAAAGATATGGTGTGAATTGTCGTGACAGAGCCTTTACATAGCTTCTTTCAATACTTGCACAACCACACTGTAGAGGGGAAACATGACTGGTTCACAGAGGCCTAAAGCACACTGTCAAAATATCTGATGCTTTCTGTTTGATTGCTAATTAAATAAATTCTTTGCTCCTTTTCTTTTTAACCATTACCATTTTTTGCCTGTTTCTATAACAGCTTTGTGTGAGTGGGTGTATGTGCATGTACCTGCACACTCCATATATTTGAGAAGTAGATTGTAAATATGAGCCAGCAGTGTGTAGCGGCAGGGAAAAAAACCAATGCAATCCTAGGCTGCATTAACAGAGGGACAGGATCAAGACCACACGAAGTATTAGCACTGCTTTATAAAGCCTTAGTAAGACCACACTTAGACTACTGCATCCAGTTTTGATCATCATATTATGAAAAAGATGTTGAGACTCTGGTAAGAGGGCAGAGAAGAGCAACAAAGACAATTAGGGGGCTGGAGGCTAAAACATATGAGAAAAGGTTGCAGGAATTGAGTATGTCTAGTCTAGTGAAAAGAAGGACTAGGGGTGACATAGAATATAATTCTTTATTGGCCAAGTGTGATTGGACACACAAGGAATTCATCAAGAATCATAAGATACATAAACAGACATAAAAATATATTCATCAAGAATCACAAGATACAACACTTAGTGATAGTAATAGGATACTAAATAAGCAATCAAGTCATACTAGGAAACTAATAAAACAATATAAATCATAAAGATACAAGCAACAAGATTATAGTCATAAGTGGGAGGAGATAGGTAATAGGAAGGATGAGAAAAATAATAGTAATACAGTCTTAATAAATAGTTTGACAGTGTTGTGGGAATTAGTAGTTTAGCAGAGTGATGGCATTCAGGAAAAAACTGTCCTTGTGTCTAGTTGTTCTGGTGTGCAATGCTCTATAAAGTCGTTTTGAGGGTAGAAGTTGAAACAATTTATGTCCAGGATGTGAGGAGTCTGTAGATATTTTCACAGCCCACTTTTTGACTTGTGCAGTATACAGGTCCTCAATGGAAGGCAGGTTGGGAGTAATTGTTTTTCTGCAGTTCTAATTATCCGTTGAAGTCTGTGTCTGTCTTGTTTGGTTGTGACTCAATAATTCCTCTGTAGAACTGA